CGATGGTGATGCGATGGTGATGCGATGGTGATGCGATGGTGATGCGATGGTGATGCGATGGTGATGCGATGGTGATGCGATGGTGATGCGATGGTGATGCGATGGTGATGCGATGGTGATGCGATGGTGATGCGATGGTGATGCGATGGTGATGCGATGGTGATGCGATGGTGATGCGATGGTGATGCGATGGGTGATGCGATGGTGATGCGATGGTGATGCGATGGTGATGCGATGGTGATGCGATGGTGATGCGATGGTGATGCGATGGTGATGCGATGGTGATGCGATGGTGATGCGATGGTGATGCGATGGTGATGCGATGGTGATGCGATGGTGATGCGATGGTGATGCGATGGTGATGCGATGGTGATGCGGATGGTGATGCGATGGTGATGCGATGGTGATGCGATGGTGATGCGATGGTGATGCGATGGTGATGCGATGGTGATGCGATGGTGATGCGATGGTGATGCGATGGTGATGCGATGGTGATGCGATGGTGATGCGATGGTGATGCGATGGTGATGCGATGGTGATGCGATGGTGATGCGATGGTGATGCGATGGTGATGCGATGGTGATGCGATGGTGATGCGATGGTGATGCGATGGTGATGCGATGGTGATGCGATGGTGATGCGATGGTGATGCGATGGTGATGCGATGGTGATGCGATGGTGATGCGATGGTGATGCGATGGTGATGCGATGGTGATGCGATGGTGATGCGATGGTGATGCGATGGTGATGCGATGGTGATGCGATGGTGATGCGATGGTGATGCGATGGTGATGCGATGGTGATGCGATGGTGATGCGATGGTGATGCGATGGTGATGCGATGGTGATGCGATGGTGATGCGATGGTGATGCGATGGTTGATGCGATGGTGATGCGATGGTGATGCGATGGGTGATGGTGATGCGATGGTGATGCGATGGTGATGCGATGGTGATGCGATGGTGATGCGATGGTGATGCGATGGTGATGCGATGGTGATGCGATGGTGATGCGATGGTGATGCGATGGTGATGCGATGGTGATGCGATGGTGATGCGATGGTGATGCGATGGTGATGCGATGGTGATGCGATGGTGATGCGATGGTGATGCGATGGTGATGCGATGGTGATGCGATGGTGATGCGATGGTGATGCGATGGTGATGCGATGGTGATGCGATGGTGATGCGATGGTGATGCGATGGTGATGCGATGGTGATGCGATGGTGATGCGATTGGTGATGCGATGGTGATGCGATGGTGATGCGATGGTGATGCGATGGTGATGCGATGGTGATGCGATGGTGATTGCGATGGTGATGCGATGGTGATGCGATGGTGATGCGATGGTGATGCGATGGTGATGCGATGGTGATGCGATGGTGATGCGATGGTGATGCGATGGTGATGCGATGGTGATGCGATGGTGATGCGATGGTGATGCGATGGTGATGCGATGGTGATTGCGATGGTGATGCGATGGTGATGCGATGGTGATGCGATGGTGATGCGATGGGTGATGCGATGGTGATGCGATGGTGATGCGATGGTGATGCGATGGTGAGCGATGGTGATGCGATGGTGATGCGATGGTGATGCGATGGTGATGCGATGGTGATGCGATGGTGATGCGATGGTGATGCGATGGTGATGCGATGGTGATGCGATGGTGATGCGATGGTGATGCGATGGTGATGCGATGGTGATGCGATGGTGATGCGATGGTGATGCGATGGTGATGCGATGGTGATGCGATGGTGATGCGATGGTGATGCGATGGTGATGCGATGGTGATGCGATGGTGATGCGATGGTGATGCGATGGTGATGCGATGGTGATGCGATGGTGATGCGATGGTGATGCGATGGTGATGCGATGGTGATGCGATGGTGATGCGATGGTGATGCGATGGTGATGCGATGGTGATGCGATGGTGATGCGATGGTGATGCGATGGTGATGCGATGGTGATGCGATGGTGATGCGATGGTGATGCGATGGTGATGCGATGGTGATGCGATGGTGATGCGATGGTGATGCGATGGTGATGCGATGGTGATGCGATGGTGATGCGATGGTGATGCGATGGTGATGCGATGGTGATGCGATGGTGATGCGATGGTGATGCGATGGTGATGCGATGGTGATGCGATGTGATGCGATGGTGATGCGATGGTGATGCGATGGTGATGCGATGGTGATGCGATGGTGATGCGATGGTGATGCGATGGTGATGCGATGGTGATGCGATGGTGATGCGATGGTGATGCTGATGGTGATGCGATGGTGATGCGATGGTGATGCGATGGTGATGCGATGGTGATGCGATGGTGATGCGATGGTGATGCGATGGTGATGCGATGGTGATGCGATGGTGATGCGATGGTGATGCGATGGTGATGCGATGGTGATGCGATGGTGATGCGATGGTGATGCGATGGTGATGCGATGGTGATGCGATGGTGATGCGATGGTGATGCGATGGTGATGCGATGGTGATGCGATGGTGATGCGATGGTGATGCGATGGTGATGCGATGGTGATGCGATGGTGATGCGATGGTGATGCGATGGTGATGCGATGGTGATGCGATGGTGATGCGATGGTGATGCGATGGTGATGCGATGGTGATGCGATGGTGATGCGATGGTGATGCGATGGTGATGCGATGGTGATGCGATGGTGATGCGATGGTGATGCGATGGTGATGCGATGGTGATGCGATGGTGATGCGATGGTGATGCGATGGTGATGCGATGGTGATGCGATGGTGATGCGATGGTGATGCGATGGTGATGCGATGGTGATGCGATGGTGATGCGATGGTGATGCGATGGTGATGCGATGGTGATGCGATGGTGATGCGATGGTGATGCGATGGTGATGCGATGGTGATGCGATGGTGATGCGATGGTGATGCGATGGTGATGCGATGGTGATGCGATGGTGATGCGATGGTGATGCGATGGTGATGCGATGGTGATGCGATGGTGATGCGATGGTGATGCGATGGTGATGCGATGGTGATGCGATGGTGATGCGATGGTGATGCGATGGTGATGCGATGGTGATGCGATGGTGATGCGATGGTGATGCGATGGTGATGCGATGGTGATGCGATGGTGATGCGATGGTGATGCGATGGTGATGCGATGGTGATGCGATGGTGATGCGATGGTGATGCGATGGTGATGCGATGGTGATGCGATGGTGATGCGATGGTGATGCGATGGTGATGCGATGGTGATGCGATGGTGATGCGATGGTGATGCGATGGTGATGCGATGGTGATGCGATGGTGATGCGATGGTGATGCGATGGTGATGCGATGGTGATGCGATGGTGATGCGATGGTGATGCGATGGTGATGCGATGGTGATGCGATGGTGATGCGATGGTGATGCGATGGTGATGCGATGGTGATGCGATGGTGATGCGATGGTGATGCGATGGTGATGCGATGGTGATGCGATGGTGATGCGATGGTGATGCGATGGTGATGCGATGGTGATGCGATGGTGATGCGATGGTGATGCGATGGTGATGCGATGGTGATGCGATGGTGATGCGATGGTGATGCGATGGTGATGCGATGGTGATGCGATGGTGATGCGATGGTGATGCGATGGTGATGCGATGGTGATGCGATGGTGATGCGATGGTGATGCGATGGTGATGCGATGGTGATGCGATGGTGATGCGATGGTGATGCGATGGTGATGCGATGGTGATGCGATGGTGATGCGATGGTGATGCGATGGTGATGCGATGGTGATGCGATGGTGATGCGATGGTGATGCGATGGTGATGCGATGGTGATGCGATGGTGATGCGATGGTGATGCGATGGTGATGCGATGGTGATGCGATGGTGATGCGATGGTGATGCGATGGTGATGCGATGGTGATGCGATGGTGATGCGATGGTGATGCGATGGTGATGCGATGGTGATGCGATGGTGATGCGATGGTGATGCGATGGTGATGCGATGGTGATGCGATGGTGATGCGATGGTGATGCGATGGTGATGCGATGGTGATGCGATGGTGATGCGATGGTGATGCGATGGTGATGCGATGGTGATGCGATGGTGATGCGATGGTGATGCGATGGTGATGCGATGGTGATGCGATGGTGATGCGATGGTGATGCGATGGTGATGCGATGGTGATGCGATGGTGATGCGATGGTGATGCGATGGTGATGCGATGGTGATGCGATGGTGATGCGATGGTGATGCGATGGTGATGCGATGGTGATGCGATGGTGATGCGATGGTGATGCGATGGTGATGCGATGGTGATGCGATGGTGATGCGATGGTGATGCGATGGTGATGCGATGGTGATGCGATGGTGATGCGATGGTGATGCGATGGTGATGCGATGGTGATGCGATGGTGATGCGATGGTGATGCGATGGTGATGCGATGGTGATGCGATGGTGATGCGATGGTGATGCGATGGTGATGCGATGGTGATGCGATGGTGATGCGATGGTGATGCGATGGTGATGCGATGGTGATGCGATGGTGATGCGATGGTGATGCGATGGTGATGCGATGGTGATGCGATGGTGATGCGATGGTGATGCGATGGTGATGCGATGGTGATGCGATGGTGATGCGATGGTGATGCGATGGTGATGCGATGGTGATGCGATGGTGATGCGATGGTGATGCGATGGTGATGCGATGGTGATGCGATGGTGATGCGATGGTGATGCGATGGTGATGCGATGGTGATGCGATGGTGATGCGATGGTGATGCGATGGTGATGCGATGGTGATGCGATGGTGATGCGATGGTGATGCGATGGTGATGCGATGGTGATGCGATGGTGATGCGATGGTGATGCGATGGTGATGCGATGGTGATGTGCATATGTGCATCTTCCTCCTCACTGCCCTCCCGTTCCTTTCCGCTTTTCCCTACCACTGCCTACCTCCACACTGCCTAACCCTCCCTAACCACCCCCTACCACCCTCCCCCCACCAACCATAGGTGCTCAACACCCCCTCCCTGAGCCCAGAGCACTCCCTGCGCACCTCCTTCCTCACCTCCTTCACCGACGGTCCTCTCCCTCTCGACCTCGCCACTACACACGGCACCAGTAACGGCAGCGCCACCAACGGTACCACCAATGACAGCAGTGCTGCTGCTGGCGGTGACCTGGCTCTGCTGCAGCTGGATGGGGTGATGGGGCCTCTGGTGGCGAGTCACGGCATCGGCCCCTGCATTGGCATGCCCGACTTTATCAAGGTGAGACGCACTTTAGGCCGGCTGTTCCTTGCTCATACCCACCACAGTACCAGTGCCGCTGCTGCTGGGGGTGACCTGGCCCTGCTGCAGTTGGATGGGTTGATGGGTCCTCTGGTGGCGAGTCACGGCATCGGCCCCTGCATTGGCATGCCCGACTTCATCAAGGTGAGAACAACCACATGCCGGGTAAGACTGGTACGTGTGCCATGAGCATCTGTCCCGGATCCCAGCTGCCACTCTCTTGCTGTTGCAATGTTGACACTTTGTACCCTTCCCCCCTCCCGCTCTTCCTCCTCTCGTGTGACAGGATGGGGCGCTGCAGGTGCTGCTGGTGTACCCGACTCCACTCTACTCGCCTGCCCAGATGGCCCAGTTTGCTGTCCTCGTTAAGAACAACCTCATTGCAGCTGCAGCTAACCAGGATGTGTAGTGCTTATTCCTTAATGGCAGTGTACTTATCAATATCTGTAATGCATTTCACCGCGCAGTCGATTTTTATTTTGGAACGATATAAAGACATTGGCCAAACCTAATGTGCTTGCTTATGGCAAGTAACACATACAGTGCAGCGAGACAGTACACACACTCCGACATGATAGATTAGCAAGTTAGCATTAGCCACAAATCCACAGCTACATGGTCTGTCGCTGAGAGTTTTATAGAAAGGACCTCTATATAGAGTACAGGAGAGTTTCAAAGCCGTCTTCCCCTCTCAATCCATAACAGAGTACCACAAGTCGGTAGCCTAAACCTCCTGTGGCGTATAAATGTGTTTGAGTGTGGGTGAGTGTAACGGGTGGAATCTGTTTGGGGAAACAGAGCAGAGGGGCAAGGGGAGCAAAGAGAAGAGCGGAGCACACGTGAGCAACGAGGAGAGAAGTGTGGCAAGGAAGCAGATGAAGCAGATGAAGCAAGGAAGCAGATGAAGCAAGGAAGCAGATGAAGCAAGGAAGCAGATGAAGCAAGGAAGCAGATGAAGCAAGGTGTTATAAAAAACACCGAGAGAAGTGTGGCAAGGAAGCAGATGAAGGTGAGGGCAGCAGCAACAGCACAAGAACGAATAGGAGGATGGTTATCTCTGAGTCACAATTGATAATTTTCAAGAATGGCAGGAATGAAGCCAAGAATGGTGTTAAATGTAGTGGCATGAGGGAAAAGATGTAGTTGCAGGGAAGGAGGAACGAGAGGCAGACTCATGCACTAGTGCACATGAACATGAACATGAACTTAGACATGTACATGCACATGCACATGCACATGCATTCAGACATGCTTACCCTGCAGCTGGCGTGGGTGCTGCTCTTCTGATCCAGCAGCATCAACCATGCCTCGCATGCCCCATCTGCTGCTGCCCCCTCTGCTGTTTTTTACTGCTGTGGACCCCCAACCACTCAGCTGTACCACCACCACCACCATTGCCAGCACCACCACCATCAGCAGCACCAGCACCGCCCTTACCACCACCACCACCCTGACCAGCAGCATGGTGATCCCCATCCGCTCCCTGCCATGTCATCCCTGCCTCTATGCGCCTCTGCATGGCGATCAACGCAGACACTGGCGTCCACCCCTCCTGCCCCTTGGCACCACTATCATCAGGGTCGGGTACTTGACTAGTGCTGCCACCACCGTTGCTGCTGCCACCACCGTTGCTGCTGCCACCACCGTTGCTGCTGCCACCACCGTTGCTGCTGCCACCACCGTTGCTGCTGCCACCACCGTTGCTGCTGCCACCACCGTTGCTGCTGCCACCGTTGCTGCCACCACCGTTGCTGCTGCCACCGTTGCTGCTGCCACCACCGTTGCTGCTGCTGCCACCGTTGCTGCCGGCACCGTTGCTGCTGCCACCGTTGCTGCTGCCACCGTTGCTGCTGCCACCGTTGCTGCCGTGACCACGGTTGGTCCCGCCCCTGCCAGTGTGGGCAGCAGCGTGGGTGCCGCCAGTGCTGCTGCCGCCATCACTCCCCTTAGTGCCACCATGGGCAGCAGCAGCGTGCGTGGCGAGTCTGCTGCTATCCGCCGCTGCCAGCAGCTGCTGCCACTCGTCCTCGAACCTCACCCCCTCCCCCTGCTGCTGCTGCTTCTGCTGCTTCTGCTTCCCCTCTTCCTCCTCCTGACCTTGCTCCGGCGCCTGCTGCTGCTGCTGTCCCTCCCGCTCCTTCTCTCCCGCTTGCTGCTGCTGCTGCTCAGTCTTCCCCCCCTCCTTCGCCTTCTCTACCTGCTGTGGTGCTTTCGGCTGCGGCTCATGCTCGTGTTTCATCTCAAGCTGCTTCGTACTCGACTGTTTCGTCATCTCCCCTCCGCCACCGCCACTCCCACCATGCCCCCCACCACCAGGGCTGCTCTGCGCCTCATGCTCTGCCCCACCACCACCACTGCTCTTCTCCTGGCGCTCTGTGTTCAGCTTGAACCCGTTTCTCCCCCCTTTGCTGCTGCCGCTCCCACCACTGCCGGCGCCGCCGCTGCCACCGCCACCGCTGGTGCTACTGCCAGCCTTGCCGCTCTTGCTACCCTCGCTGCTTGAATGCGAGTGCCCTTGCCCTTCATTCGCCTCCCCCTTGCCCTCCTGTGTCACCTCCACATGATAGCTGCTCTCCTGCACCCCTCCCTTGCTGCTGCTGCTGCCGCTGCTCCTGCTGCTCCCCCTGCCCTTGCCACTCTTGCTGCTTGAATGTGAGTGCCCTTGCCCTTCGTTCGCCTTCCCCTTGCCCTCCTGGCCCACTTTCGTCATCTTCAAATGATAGCTGCTCTCCTGCACCCCTCTCTGCCACTCATCGAGATCAACCACCTTCCCTCCCACATGCTCCTTCCACTCCTCCTTCCTCTTCTCTCCCTCACTCTCCCTCCCCTCCTCGTCCCCCTTCCCCACTCCTGCGTTCTCCTCTGCATCACCCTCTGAACTTTCCCCTGAGTCATCCGCTCCACCTGAACCGTCACCTGATTTTTCACCTGACGACGCCGAGTTTCCTGAGGCTGCGGATTCTCCTGACGCCACACCTGAAGCCTCGTCCAGTTCGGGCCAAAGAACGCTCGTGTGCTTACTAACGTCACCACTTTCGCTGGACTTTTCGCCACTGTTACTGTTACTGTTACTGCTGCTGCTGCTGCTGCTGCTGCCACTGCTGTTACTGCTGCTGCCGCTGGTGTTGAAATTGGTGGTGCCGGTGCTGCTCTGCGCGTCCACAGTGCCAAGCCTGCCGTCACTGCTGTAACCACTCTTGAAACTGGCACCTTTGGAATCGGCAGCATCAGCGCTGCTCCGGTTAATCTCATTACCACTAACACCACTAGCACCACTAGTAGCACCATCACCAGCACCATCAACACCACTGCTGCCATCAGTATTGCCGCTGTCCTTGGCAGAGCCACCAGGCTTGTCAGCAACCTTGAAGTCACCGTAATCACTGCTGCTGCTGCTGCTGCTGCTGCTGCTGCTGCTGCTGCTGCTGCTGCTGCTGCTGCTGCTGCTGCTGCTGCTGCTGCTGCTGCTGCTGCTGCTGCTGGTGCCACTGCTGCCGCTGCCGCTGCCACTGCCGCCACTGGTGGTACTGCTGAATCCGCCAGCATTGTTATAACGGCCTCTCGCCTCACCACTAGTAGTAGCACCTCCCATACCAACCCCACTAAACCCACCAGTACCATCAGTGCCACCAGTTTTGCTGCCAGCGCTGCCGCTGCTGCCACCACTGCTGCTGCTGCTGCTGCCGCTGCTGCTGCCGTATCCGCACATTCCTAGCTGGCACGCCGAGTCAGCAGGACACGTGTTGTAGCAGCCGCCGCAGTGACGTGGATCGTCCATGATGCTGACGCACGCGCCGTCGCAGCAGTGGTGGCCCGTCGGACACGCCGTGAGGCAGTTGCCGCAATGGAACACGTCGCTGCGTAGATTACGGCACGCGCGCCTGAAGCAACGGGAGAGGGGGGAAGGGCGGGGTCGGATGGGACGGATGGGGGAAACACGCCGTGAGGCAGTTGCCGCAGTGGAACACGTCGATGCGCAGATTGCGGCACGCGCGCCTGACGGGGGAAAACGAGGAGGGGGAGAAGAGGGAGGGAGGACGGGGAAGAGAAAGGGGGAGGGAGGGGAAGCGTCGGACACGCCGTGAGGCAGTTGCCGCAGTGCAACACGTCGCTTCGTGGGTTGCGGCACGCGCGACTGGAACAAAGGGAAGGAGGGATGGGGAAGGAAAGAGAAAAGGGAAGGAGGGATGGGGAAGGAAAGAGAAAAGGGAATACGGAGAAAAGGGGACCAGGACACGCCGTGAGGCAGTTGCCGCAGTGGACACGTCGCTGTTGCGACAGGCGCGACTGAAGGAACGGAGGGATGAGGGAGAAAGGGGGTAGGAAGGGCAGCGGTATACTGCGTGTTGTACTGTACTCACCCGCAGCAGACGTCGAAACCGGGGTTCTCCTTAGCGAAGATGAGACAAACGGTCTGGTTACCCAAGCACTTCTGCCCGCGCTTTAAATGATGCCCCACGCCCGACGGGTGGTGCCCGAACAAGAAAGTCCCGTCCGCCTTCCGCGGATGGTGCCCTCCGCCGAACGGCGCGCGCCGCTCCGCGCTGGCGGCGCCCGCCCCCGAGTGGCGGCCTCCGCCGAACCAGTGGTGCCCAACAGAGGCGGTGTGGTGGCCGAGGCGCGGGTGGTGCCCCGTGAACGGCCCGTGCATCCCCTTGGGAATGTCGAAACCCTTGGGAATGCCGAATCCCTGCGGCTCGCTCGTGGTGGTGTCGGCTCCCCCGTCAATCTCAGCCGTTGATCTGGTGGTTGTGGTGATCCGATGGTGGTGGCCTAGGTTCGGATGGTCGCCCGGTTTCCTGGAAGGTTCAGCGTCGGTTTGTGCTGCTTTCCGTCGGCTGAAAAGAGCGCGGCGGAGGGACGAGACGGCGGAGGCGGCGGAGGAAACGGCGGAGGATGCGGCGGAAGATGCGGCGAGAAAGGAGGGCAGCGGAAAACGGCCTATCCCCCTGTTGGCGCCACCGGGATTCGCGAAGCGCGAAACCTTTGAGGAAGTGAAGGGCAGCTTGTTGGGCGATCGTATTCGGATCTTAAAGAGCTTCGGCCTTCCTTTACTGCCACGTGGACGCGGAATATCCGGAAGGAGATCATCTGACGTGGCTAAGGAGTAGGATGGTAGGAGAAAAAGGATGCATATACACGATAGTACTAGCGCCGCGACCAAGCTTCGAAGCGTCTTCATGTTTGCGCGATCCGACTGAATCGACGGTATCCAGTTTGAGCGTCTTCTAGAAAGTTAAGCCTCGATGGCTTTCTCCGCGTTCGCGCGGCGAATGCATGCCGGCTAAATCCTAGGTGCAGTCGTTAGTGGTCAATCACACGACCTCTCATTGCGGTTAGCGACGCAATTGTTAGCGCGGTAACTACTCTAGCTAGTGAAGGCTCCCAGTCGGCACCTTGGTAGGGTATTCGCTCTGGCTCGAGTCATGAGAGCAAGCCGGTCAATAACTATATCTTCTTGCCCGCTACCTTTCTTGCACCAGGCCGTGCAGACCCATGCTCCTGTCGGCCGTAAGCAGTCTTAGAAGTTTCTGCTATGCGGACTGCTCTCACTGAACGGTGTGGCGTCGCCGCGAAGCGATTAACTATTACAAGGCGATTATCTTTCCCAAGGCGACACTGTACAGGCGAGTGATAACCTATGGTGACAGCTAGAGCATTCTAAAGCGCTAGGCATCTGATGTCACTACGGCAAGTATTGCCATGTGTTGACCATTAGAGGAGTGCAGTGGGGGATAGAGGAAATGGTGCTAGTGGCGTGGCTGGGATAGAGGGGGCGTGTGGCGTGGTGTGCTGCGCTGCGATGCAGCGACTCGATGGAATCGTGCGCTGCGTGCTGGGTGCTGTCGTTTACTCGGCCACAAACAACTGTCTGGCGGGGTGAGATTCGCTCGACCTGCGCAAATTGTGGAAGCAGTGAGGCAAACTTGGGCGCGAATAAAGAAAACTACTAAACGGTGATGACAGAAGCGTGGGCGCAGAGCAGGAGAAACACATGGGTTTAGGCGTTTTACGGTGGTAAATTACGGTAAGAGGCTAAACTGTAGTGGTTGATCGGAGGTGGTGGGAAGGAGAGGAACGTTCGAGATGATGCGGGCGAATTTTCAAACTCATCAGTGAAACAAGTCCCAATGACTGTTGACAAATGTGCAATTTCAGACATTTTGCGCGAAATGCGACTCGACATTTCGCATAAACACGACGCGATTCACTCGCGGCTTGAGATCTGGTGCTGAGGTGGCTCTACATTGGGACCGTCGATGCTCTGGAACCGTTGGGCTTGTGAAGGACACGTGGCAAGACTGCTGAAGGGTCGATGCCCACGAACAGCGACGGCTGAGCGGCAAGGAGACGGTTGCCGACAACAAGATGGGGAGTGTCGTCGCAACCTTGGGGCTTCGTGATTCCATTGCTGACAGGAACGCGTGCGAACACCTCGAAAGTTTGGTGACTGACAGTTACAGCCTCGCAGCCAACCATCCTCAGCGCTGGCAAGCGACCAGCGGCAAATTTTCCGAATCGAGAGTTTTCGCACTCCATTGTGTTACAAATGGTCTTTTGCTTGTCTCTTTTGCGTTAATCAGACTGCGCAATCTAAAGACACCCTGCGTAAAAGCAATATAACTAGGTACGACACTGCTTTTAACGCGGATGCAAAGATACCTGTTCTCTCACCATAGAAAATCCCGAGCTCTAGAAGTGGTTCTAGTCCTTCATCCTCAGGAGAAACTAAGAAGCAAGGCGCATTCGTTAGTTATCCCGGTCAAGCGCCGGGCGAGTCGAAATGCTAGGTCTTGCTGCTACTGGCGTGTCGTCGTCGCTTCCTCCGGGAATATCGTCTCGTCAGAAATCTGACGTGTCATGCGGATCTCAGCTCCAGTCTGACGTGTCGAGAGCATCATCATCCGTTTCGCCGAGCGCTACCCTATCTGGCGATTCGATCAGCGATGGACGCATCGTAGGGTCACCATTTCGCTCCGACCGGCTGCGAACCTCGAAAACCTCGTGTCGCGCTTGGACTAGTTCGCAAAACGGGTTTTCGACAACGGGCTTGCAGTCACCGTCAACGTCGCAAAGACGAAAATCTTCCACGCATTACCGACGCGACGGAAAGAGCTATACAGTAGCAGCAGCTGCTGCTGCTGGAACCGGATCATCCGACGATTCAGACGAGCCTGTTTTCATTTTCACGAATCCGCGACAGTCGCCAGACGTCGCAAAGGTGCTTCGCCACGATTCGCGGGCCTCCGCCGCTGCCGCCGCCGCTTCCGCTGCTGCTGCTGCCGCCGCCGGCGCCGCAGCAGCAGAAGATGTAGCAACCGCTACGCAGGACGCTCTAGAAGCCGGCGCGTCCTCCGCGACTGGCGCCGCGAGCGGCGCCCTCGAGGGAAAACGATCAAGCGCGCAAGCCGCGGCAGTGGATCAGCTACTAACGGGGCCGCCCAGGCGAATAGTGCCTATAGTGCCGGACGACCATAAGAGCGGTAGGCGGGGGCGTGGGTAAGCGGAGACACGCGGGTGGGGGAATTGGGTTGAGGGGGAATGTAGGGGAATGTAAGGGAGGGGAAGGGGTGATTAGTGCCCAAAGTGCCTGAAGACCATTGAAATGATGGCAATGGGCTGGCAATGTGCTGTTGGGACGGCTTGAAGGGGTTTTTGTGACGGGGTTTAGGACTGAGGGTTTGAGACGCAGTGTGTGATGTGAAGCTACGATAAGCGGTGAAAGCACTTATGCATGCTTCCACTTCCTCCTCCTCGTCCTTCTCCTCCTCTCCCTTTTACTCCTCCTCCTCCTCCTCCTCCTCCTCCTCCTCCTCCTCCTCCTCCTCCTCCTCCTCCTCCTCCTCCTCCTCCTCCTCCTCCTTTCTCCCGCCCGTGCCCCTTCCCCCCTTCACCTCTCCTCACCTCCCTTCCTACGTGGTAATGATTGGGCAGCCCAATGCGGGCAAGAGCAGAGCACGCTGCTGAATCGGATCATCGGGCACCCCTGTTCCGATCCGATTCAGCAGTGTGCTCTTTCTTCCCTCACATCCCTCGCATCCCTCACATACCCCAATCCCCCAATCCCTCACATCCCCCAAACCTCAGGCTACGTGGCGTTGATGGGCCAGCCCAATCCGCGCTAGGCACGCTGCTGAACCGCCTCATCAGGCAAAGGCTGTCTTTCCTTTTCCAAGCCGCCTCTTCCCTTTCCTCATATCCCCTAATCCACGTGCTTCTCAGGCTACGTGGCGCTGATAGGCCAGCCCAACGCGGGCAAGAGCAGCGCACGCTGCTGAATTGACTCATCGGGCAGAAGCCCACTGGCCTCCCCTTTCCCCTTACCGCCCTTCACATCCCCTCACCTCACCTCACTTTCCCCCAATCCTCAGGTTACGTGGCGCTGATAGGGCAGCCCAACGCGGGCAAGAGCACGCTGCTGAACCGACTCATCGGGCAGAAGCTGCCTTCCTGCTCCCACTCGCCTCCCCTTCCGCCTCACCTCTCTTCGCCTCGCTCATTACCTCTCCTCACCCCTCCTCACCGCTCTTCACCTCCCCTCACCCCCAGGCTACGTGGCCCTTATAGGCCAGCCGAACGCAGGCAAGAGCACGCTGCTGAACCGACTCATCGGGCAGAAGCTGTCGATCGTCACACTTGCCTCCCCCTTCCCTCACCCCTCCTCACCGCTCTTCACCCCCCCAGGCTACGTGGCCCTTATAGGGCAGCCCAACGCGGGCAAGAGCACGCTGCTGAACCGACTCATCGGGCAGAAGCTGTCGATCGTCACACTTGCCTCCCCCTTCCCTCACCCCTCCTCACCGCTCTTCACCCCCCCAGGCTACGTGGCTCTTATAGGGCAGCCCAATGCGGGCAAGAGCACGCTGCTGAACCGACTGATCGGGCAGAAGCTGTCGATCGTCACACAGAAGCCGCAGACCACCCGGCACCGCATCCTGGGCCTCGTCTCCGCGCCCGCCTACCAGGTGAAGTGAAGGGGGGTGGTTGGGGAGGTGGGGTTCTAATCGCGCATGTCAGATGGGTGAGGGGATGTAGGGGCTGGGCATGGGAGCACACAGAAGCCGCAGACCACCCGGCACCGCATCCTGGGGCTCGTCTCTGCCCCTGCGTACCAGGTGCGTGGGGGAGGTGAGGGGTGCATGTGGTGGGTGGGTGGGCTGATGGTGGGGACGTGGGGTCACACAGAAGCCACAGAAGCCGCAGACCACTCGCCACCGCATCCTGGGACTCGTGTCCGCGCCCGCCTACCAGGTGCGTGGCCCAGAAACTAGGTTGGGCGTGGGGGCATGCAGAAGCCACAGAAGCCACAGACCACCCGGCACCGCATCCTGGGACTCGTGTCCGCACCTGCCTACCAGGTGTGTGGGGAGGGGATGTGGTTTGTTATGTGCCCCCTGGTAAAGCACACAAGGGGGCATGAGGGCAGGCAGAAGCTGTCGATCGTCACACAGAAGCCGCAGACCACTCGCCACCCCCCTTGTGTTTTCCACTCATGATGCAGGCAGTGCCCCCCCTCTTGTGTTTTCCATGTGCCATACCATTCTGTCTGTACCACTCACACCTTCTCCTCCCATCCTCTCCAGATCATTCTGTACGACACGCCCGGGGTACTATCCAAGTCACAGCACAAGCTCGATGAGCTCATGATGCACGCTGTGCCTCCCCGCCTCTCCGTGTGCTGTGCCCCTCCCTCCTTTCCTTGTGTCCGTGCTTGCTTCCCCTCTCCCTCCCCTTCCCCCACAGATCATTCTGTACGACACGCCCGGGGTACTATCCAAGTCAATGCACAAGCTGGACGAGCTCATGATGCAGGCGGTGCGCACTGCTACAGTCAACGCCGACGCTGTTGTCCTCGTTATAGACATCACCCAGGCGCCCCAAGAGGTGCGTCCAGCCATCTTAAAGGCATGCACCACCACCGTCAACTCGGACGCTTTTGTCCTCGTAGCACCCAAGCGCCTCAAGAGGTGCGCTGTGCTTTTCCTCAAACGTAGCTTAAATCTGACTTTACTTTGCTCAGTATGGCCATGTGTGGTCTGCGGAGGATGTTGACTGATGGTCCATATGGGCCCTCAAAACTTGACTTATCTGGTCATGCCCTCTGCCTTTCTGTGCTCCTTATGCAGGTATCGAAGCTGCTACTAGAGGGGATGGAGAGTGCAGTGGTGCAGAAGAAGCCGACCCTCATAGTGCTGAACAAGAAGGACTCGCTGAAGCCGGGGGAAGTTGCCAAGAAGCTCAAGGTAGGGGCAGTTACTGGTCAGCAGCACCACTCAGCACCAATCAGCACCACTCAGCACCAGTCAGCTCCGCTCAGGTGGCTAATAGGGGGATGGAGAGCGCAGTGGTGCAAAAGAAGCCGACCCTCATAGTGCTGAACAAGAAGGAGTCGCTGAAGCCGGGGGAGGTTGCCAAGAAGCTCAAGGTAAGTGGCTTTTGAGAATTCTCAAAAGAAACCGTGCACTTGAGCAGATGGGATGGGGTTTGAACCCTCATAGTGTTGAACAAGAAGGACTCGCTCAAGCCAGGGGAAGTTGCGAAAAAAGCTCAAGGTAAGGAAGTTACCAGTCAGTACCACTCAGCACCACGCACGCAGCACCACGCAGCACCACGCAGCACCACTCAACACCACTCAGCTCCGCTCTGGTAGCTACTAGAGGGGATGGAGAGAGCCGTGGTGCAAAAGAAGCCGACCCTCATTGTGCTGAACAAGGAGTCGCTGAAGCCGGGGGAAGTTGCCAAGAAGCTCAAGGTAAGGGAATTTGCCAAGAAGCTCAAGGTAAGGGAATTTGCCAAGAAGGTACCAGTCAGTACCAGCGCAAAACTATGTTCAGTAGGATTCCGCGTCTCGTCTTACCGTGCGTGTGGCCGCAGAGGTATCAAGAGGCCGTGGCAGAGGAAGGGCACGTGGTGACTGCCTGCCTAGTGCCCTGGTCTTTTTGGAGCCTAGAGGTGACTTTTGAGTCGACTCAAAAGTCACTTCGTTACCATGGCACACGACACTCCTTCCCGTTGTGTGCTCCCATCCCATCTCTCCAGTGGTACCAAGAGGCAGTGGCAGCCGAGGGGCACACTGTGATCGCTCTGAGCGCCAAGAGAGGTGACGGGGGACACGGTTGTCGCTCTAAGTGCCCACCCCTCTCACGCCCTGTGTGCTCCCATCCCATCCCATCCCATCCCATCCCATCCCATCCCTCCAGTGGTACCAACCAAGAGGCAGTGGCAGCCGAGGGGCACACTGTGATCGCTCTGAGTGGCTGCTTTGGGTGTGGCTGATGTGTGACCCAACCCAATTCAACGCTACGTGTGTGCCCCCTGTCCTTACCACCATTCCCCTTCTCGGTGCGCTCCCATCACACCAGTGGTACCAAGACGCTGTAGCAGCAGATGGGAACACGGTGATCGCTCTGAGTGCCAAGAGGGGTGATGGGAACACGGTGATCGCTCTGAGTGCCTTGGTGAACCAACTCGTTGCTGTCGTTGCCTTCACTTTCCTCCATTCCTCACTTCTGTGTGTGCTCCCCTCTGTGTGACCGCAGTGGTACCAAGACGCTGTAGCAGCAGATGGGAACACGGTGATCACTCTGAGTGCCAAGAGGGGCGAAGGGGTGGATGGGCTGCTGGCGTGGATGCTCGATAACATCCCCCAGGGCCCCGCTTACTACCCCAAGGTATCACTGCACTGCTTGCCTTGTGTAGAGAGGGTGTTTTTGAGGCGTCTCAAAATACTACCCCAAGGTATCACTGCACTGCCTGCCTTACTCAAGTCGTCCCCTAGCATTGGTTCTTTTGAGACGTCTCAAAAGTGGATGGGCTGCTGGCGTGGATGCTGGACAACATTCCGCACGGCCCCGCCTACTACCCCAAGGTGACTAGAGCGGCTGACTAGCCTCAAAGGCTTGCTCCGATTGTGCTCCAACATTGTTGCAACGAGAGGTGGGGTTGGAGTATAGGCTCAGGGGAGGGTGGATGGGCTGCTGGCATGGATGCTGGATAACATTCCGCAAGGCCCCGCGTACTACCCCAAGGTATCATTTTTGAGTCGACTCAAAAGTCATCGCACTGCCTGCCTTACTCAAGTCGTCCCCTAGCATTGGTTCGGAGAGCGGTAGGTTCGGGGTAGACACGGTGGAGGGTGATTGGGCTTCTGGCATGGTGAGCGAGTTTTGAGACGTCTCAAAACAAGTCGTCCCTCGTCCCCTAGCATTGGTTCGGAGAGCGGTAGGCTCGGGGTAGACACGGTGGAGGGTGAATGGGCTTCTGGCATGCCAGAGCAGTTCTTTGCTTGCGGCGCCTCTAAATACCACAGCCACACCACTGAAAACCACTTGCCACACCACCCAACCCCATCCCATGCACAACCCCACCCCCCATCAGGACGTGGTGAGCGAGCTACCAGAGCGGTTCTTCGTGGCTGAGATAGTGAGGGAGAAGATTCTGCTGCAGTACTCTCAGGAAGTGCCGTACGCCTGCCAGGTGTGTGTGTGTGTGAGAGAATACGAGCATGGGGTATGGGGGTCAGGGCATGGGGGTCAGGGCATGGGGGTCAGGGCATGGTGGCGCATGGGTCAGTGAGGGAGCAGATTCTGCTGCAGTACTCTCAAGAAGTGCCGTACGCCTGCCAGGTGCGGTGAGAGGGATGGGGTGTGGGGGTTGGAGCATGGGGTGTGGGGGTTGGAGCATGGGGTGTGGGGGTTGGAGCATGGGGTGTGGGGGTTGGAGCATGGGGTGTGGGGGTTGGAGCATGGGGTTGATGGCTGCCCGCTGCGTGGGTGACTGAGCGGGAAGATTCTGCTGCATTACTCACAGGAGGTGCCATACGCCTGCACGAGGTGACTTTTGAGTCGACTCAAAACATTCTGCTGCATTACTCACAGGAGGTGCCATACGCCTGCAACGTGCGTGTGCAGAGAAGCACGGGGCTTGGGGTGCGTGCGGGTGGGTCATGTGGTATGGGACACGGGGAGTGGGGCACAGGGCATGGGCAATTGCAGACATACCTTACTTTTCTCTTACATTGTTTTGCCATTTCGTGACAATGTTGCCTTGGGTTGACATGGCATGGCATGGCATGGCATGGCATGGCATGGCATGGCATGGCATGGCATGGCATGGCATGGCATGGCAGGTGACAGTGAGGGCGTTCAGGGAGAGGGAGAAGGCAAAGGACTACATCAGTCTTGACATCATGGTGGAGCGGGACAGCCAGAAGGCCATCCTGCTGGGGAAGGTGAGGAGTAAGGGGAGAGGGGTATGTGCATGCGGGTCAAAGGAAGAGGGAGCGGGAAGGGGTGAGAGAGGGAGAAGGCAAAGGACTACATCAGTCTTGACATCATGGTGGAGCGGGACAGCCAGAAGGCCATCCTGCTGGGGAAGGTGAGGAGTAAGGGGAGAGGGGTATGTGCATGCGGGTCAAAGGAAGAGGGAGCGGGAAGGGGTGAGAGAGGGAGAAGGCAAAGGACTACATCAGTCTTGACATCATTGTGGAGCGAGACAGCCAGAAGGCCATCCTGCTGGGGAAGGTGAGGAGTGGGGGTGAAGGGTGAGGGGTACGTGCATTTGAGTACGAGCATGCGGGTCAAAGGAAGAGGGAGAGGGAGAAGGCAAAGGACTACATCAGCCTTGACATCATGGTGGAGAGGGACAGCCAGAAGGCCATCCTGCTGGGGAAGGTGAGTGATGGATGGATGTGAGTCCACGAGAGAAGGAGTGAGTGAGGGTGGGCGTGAGAGAAGGACTACATCAGTCTTGACATCATGGTTGAGCGGGACAGCCAGAAGGCGATTCTGCTGGGGAAGGTGGGCTGAGAGGGGTGTAAGAGGAGAGAGGAGAGAGGAGAGAGGCGAGAGGCGAGAGGCGAGAGGTGGTGAGAAAGTGTGGGAAGCAATGGGAAAGGAAGATGCGAAAGGGGGTGCACATGTGGGTAAAGCGTCTGCAAGTGTAGCAACAAGTGCTTGTGTGCGCAGTGACTCTGTTCCCCCTCCGCTCCTTATCACCTCTCTGCCTCATATACCTCTTCGAACGTACAATCCCATCACTTCCCTGCCTCACCAGGAGGGCAAGCAGCTCAAGGCACTGGCGGCAGCAGCTCGCATGGACATTGAGGAGTTTCTTGGGCCATCACACCTCTGCCTCATATACCTCTTCGAACGTACAATCCCATCACTTCCCTGCCTCACCAGGAGGGCAAGCAGCTCAAGGCGCTGGCAACGGCAGCTCGGATGGACATAGAGGAGTTTCTGGGGCGAGAGGTGTTCCTGGAGGTGAGGGGTGCTGCTGCGTTGGCAGGGTGGAGATGGGTGGTGGGGATTGGCTGCAAGGGTACTTGCTGAAGGGGTTTTGCTGGAAATGAGGAGTGTTGCTGGAAATGAGGGGTTTAGGGTTGCTGCTCAGGGAATACAAACCCTCTCCACCTCCATCTCTTGCTTCATGCGTTACTTCCCCCCCTCCTCCCTCACTCTCTTCTGGATGAGATGCAATGGAGGGAACAGTAGCCCTCCTCATCACTTTATCTGCACTCCCCCTGCTCATCTCCCCATCTCTGCTCCACACTCCCTTCGCACAGATCCGGGTGAAGGTGAAGGAGAAGTGGAGGCAGGACGAGACGCTGCTGAAGGAGTATGGGCTGGATGTGCGCAAGAGAGGCTCCTGGTACTGAACATGTGCTGCTGCAGTGCGCTTTTTTGGTGGTTCGCTTGATACCATGTGAAGCAGTTAGGCTGCAAGTAATGGCAACAGTAAACTGGTAACTGGTGTTACCGTATTACCGGTAGTCGTGAACAATAGTTGGTTGGTTCATCTACACATGAAAATATTTTCGATTTGAGGTGGTAACATCCAAGTGTACCCTACCCTACTGGAAACTTCAGGATACAATGGCTACATTCTACCTTCGCTTTAACGAGTGAAAGAAAGTTGGCTGGTTCAAGTTTTTGCGGGTTTGCTGTGACCTTGGATCTGTCATTCAACAGAGACATTCAGAGGATTCTCTTGAAGGCTCCAGGTGTCAATGTGCGCAGGCAATGCTGGCTCACTACCACCACTCTCGCTTCTTTGTCTAACCATCTGGTCATGGTCCAATCTGCCTGCTTCTTTGTTGTCAACAACTGCTGCTGCTTCCAGAGTGAATACCTGATCACTGTCCTCGTATTGTTCTGCAACCGGCTTGCCATGGCCCTGCGTGTCTGCTCTACTCACCCCTCTCTCATCAACACCTCGTGCTGCCAGCGTGGACGCCTGACCACCAGCACCCTGCTGAAATTCATCAAAGTCCTCTCCCTCCCCTCCAGCACCAGCATCACGAGCCGAAACACCAGGCATATTGTGAAAGTTCTCTTCCTGCTCCCCTGTATTGTCATACTGGTATCGGTAACCCTGCAGAGATAGGCTAGGAGACAAGTGTCGAGAGTAATGTTTGAGTAAGGAGGGACAAGGAGATACAAATGTCGACCTAAAGTGTTGTACCCTTTAGAGGGCAACTCACAGTAGCCTATCTAACAATATATAGAATATATAAACATTTGACACACCCCCATAGGCTAAGTGAGGGGCATCAAAACAACCAACGGAAACAAGGGGTCACAAGACCAGTCAAGAACAAGCATAAAAAACAAAGCTCAGGGTGGCGCTCAGAGTCACCACACACTCCGAGCACAAGCAAGTGGCCACAAGGCCAGTTCAAGAGTTTACTAGTATATATAGAAGCACAACAAGTAGAGCAAACAGCAAGTCTACAGCAACCGAGGGCCTACCTCAACAAGCCCCAACTGCACACAGAACCTGTGGTGGTCACCAGACGCCAAGGCCTTGGTGAAGACGTCGGCAGTGTTGGCCTGTGAGGCCACAAAGTCCAAACGTGCCTGACCGCGTCGCTGCAACTCTCGCAGGAGGAAGTACCTCACGTCAATATGCTTCACTCTGCTCTCCAGTCGAGGCTCTCGACACAGGAGGATCATGGCCTTGTTGTCAGCGTACAAGGTCGGTGCAGAGCGAGGCCGCTCACCAAGGTCGGCGAGCAAGAAGGTCAACCAGCGAAGCTCCTGTGCCGCCATGGCACCAGCGTAGATCTCTGCCTCTGCACTGGAAGTAGCCACAGACGACGACCGTGTAGACCTCCACGACACAGCACCAGCTCCCAGACTGAGGCAGTAACCCTGAGTCGAACGCTGAGTCTCCACGTCGTCAGCGTAGGAAGAGTCGCAGTGACCAGTCAACGCCACTGGCTGAGTCCCTCCAAGCACAAGCCCCATGCCTGATGTAGTCGCCAGGTACTTCGCCACCCTCACAGCAGCTGTCCAGTGGACAGGGCGGTGTCTCCCAGTCGCAACAAAGCGAGAAAGGATGCTGAGTGGAAAGGCGAGGTCCGGTCGAGTACAAGTCATCAGGTACATGAGGCAGCCCACCAGCTCTGCGTAGGGTCCACTGGACTCAAAGGGCTCGTCAGGAAAGGGGCCCGTGAGTCTGTGGTCAACAGCAAGAGGAGTGGGCTGTGTGGTGGAGAACTGGAAGTCGAACCGCCGAAGGATCTGCTGCACCATGTGTGACTGCGTCAGTGTGATGGTGCGAGCGGCTCTGTCCCGGGTGATCTGCAGGCCAAGATAGCGCTGCAGCTCACCCAGGTCAGTGCACTTGTGTCTCTTCTGCAGTTCGGACTTCACCTGAGCCAGGGCTGCCCTGTTTGCTGTAGCAAACACCAAGTCGTCGACATAGACAAGGATAAAGAAAGGAGTAGAACCCGCTCGAACAAACAGCGACGGGTCGGCGGAGGACGGGCTGAACCCAAGGTCACGAAGCGTGGAGCGAAGAGTGTCGTGCCACTCACGGGGCGACTGGCGGAGACCGTAGACTGGTCGCCTCAGGCTCCACTGGGTCCCAGGTGGGAAGGTGTCAGTGAAGCCAGGAGGACGGCGCAGCCAGATCTCCTCGTGTAGTCGGCCCTGGAGGAACGCAGTGGAGAAGTCGAGGGAGTGCAGCTCGTAGTCTCGCTGCGCTGCTATGTGGAGTAACACCCGAAGAGTAGTCATCTTCGGGGTCGGGGCGAAGGTCTGGAAGAAGTCAACTCCCTCACGCTGACTGAAGCCCCTAGCCACGTAGCGCGCCTTGAACACCGGCGGTGCTCCAGGCGGCCGCTTCACCTTGAAGAGCCACATGCCATCGACTACGTTCGCCCTGGGAGGGGGAACTGCGTCGACGTAGGTGCCTGCGGATCTCCAAGACGCCAACTCTGAGTCCATAGCCGCTTTCCACTGAGAGGCCCACGCCCCTGACACTGCCTCGCGGTAAGTGCGAGGAGTCGGTATGTCAAGGGCGTCGGGGTCTCCCTCAGGGGAGAGCAGCATGGCACACACAGAGGGAGAAGCGGCTGCCCAGTACTCCAGCTCAGACTCTCTGTCCTCTAGGACGTCACAGCCAAGGGCAAACCCACCCCCGACGGACAGAGGACGGTAGGGAGGAGCTGGCACCACACGGGTGGCGTAGTCAAGGTGGCTGGCGGCAGCAAACTCAGCGACAGCGGCAGTAAGAGCCGAGGCAGACGACGGAGGGAAACGAGAGTCGGTGACAAGAGTGGCGAGGACACGTGCGGCAACAGGACGAACAACGCGGTAGTAGTCAGAGATAGGAGTGGGGAGGGCTGGTAGGGAGGACGGAGGAGGAGACGGGAGAACGGACACAGGAGAAGGAGAACGACGACGAGACGAACAAAGGAGGGCAGTGTGGAGGTCAGTAACAGGGGACGAGTGACGAGCACGCGGAGGACAACGAGTGATCAGGTCGCGACGGACAGAGGGAGGAGGAGAAGACCAGACCGCCGGACGGTCGTCAGGAGGAGGCAACGGAGGAACAAACACAGGAGGAGACTGGGAGCGGACAGGAGGAGAGGAGGAAAGGCCAAGGGGAACAACCGCCGCTCCAGAGGAAGCTGCGGTGGCGGCTGCGGCCGCTGCTGCTGCGGCTGCGGCTGCTGCTGCTGCGGCTGCGGCGGCGGCTGCGGCTGCAGCTGCTGCTGCTGCTGCTGCTGCCGCTGCTGCTCCAGAAGGTCCAGCACCCGCAGCTCCTGCCGCTCCCTCTCCAACCGCTCCTGCTCCTCACGCTCACGCCGACGGGCAGCCTGGAGACGCGTGTCGTGGCGGTGGGGAGGCGGAGTGGACTCCGCAGAACCAGGGTCTCCAGCGTCAGTCCCCTCAGACTCAGCACCCCCAGAACCAGCACCGCCAGTGCCAGGACCTCCAACTCCAGCACCCCCAGAACTAGCACCGCCAGTGCCAGCACCCCCAACTCCAGCACCCCCAGAACCAGCACCTCCAGTGCCGGCACCTCCTGCTCCAGCACCCCCAGAGCTAGCGCCACCTGCGCCAGCACCTCCAGCTCCAGCACCCCCAGAGCTAGCGTCACGTGCGCCAGCACCTCCAGCTCCAGTACCCCGCGACCGAGCACCCCCAGACCGAGCACCGCCAGCGGCTGCACCTCCAGCTCCAACACCAACCGAGTCCAAAGTAACCTGTCGCGGAAGTGCCGAAGGCTGCTGAGGGGACTGTGAGGAGGACTGCGGGGAGGGAGACGCTACCTGACGCGCGACCGAGGGTAGAGGGGTAGCGTGGGACACACCAGACGGGGCAGGACCTGGGGGGGGCGGGGGTACCGGAGGAGCGGGAGCAGGAGGAGGAGAGGGTGCGAGGAAGAGAGGGGGAGGGGGTACCGGGAGACCTCGACAGGGGTACCGGGTGTAGTAGGACACGGACTCGTCAAACCGGACGTCACGGGAGTCTAGGAACTGGTGGAGGGGAGGGTGGTAAAAGGACCAGTCAGCAGAGTCCACTGGGAAACCAAGGAAGACACATGGGACGGCGCGTGCCGAGAGCTTGTCCGCGGAGGTGTCGCGAACAAGTGCAAGGCAGCCCCAGACTCGAAAGGCCGACCCAACACCAGGGGATCCAGTCCAAAGACTGGTCGGTGAAGCCTCGGGCCGCGAGACACGCGGCTGGAGGTTCAGCTGGTGTGCGGCGTAGCGAACCGCGTGGGGCCACAGAAAATGGGGCGCACGGGCATGAATCATGGACGTGCGGGCGATGTCCATGACCAAGCCTATGCGGCGCTCAGCAACCCCATTCTGCTGTGGGGACTCTGGCAGCGTCCAGGACTGGGTGATGCCCTGTTCGCCGCAGAATCCGCCGAGAATGCCGGAGCGAAACTCGCCCCCACGGTCGGAGTGAAGACAACTGACTCGACGACCACGAGTGCCCTCAGTGGCTAGAAGCCACCTGATCAGCGTAGCAGTCACCTCGGACTTCTTCGCAAGAGGGAACACTGTGGTGTACCTGGAGAAGTCGTCGACGACCACCAGAAAGTAACGCTCCCTCCCAGACCCCTGCGTCGGGGCAGGGCCCCAGACGTCCAAGTGGAGAGTCTCGAAGGGAGCGGTGGCCGGACGAAGGGAGGAGGAGTGGGGAGTGGCGCGTAAGCGACCGGCGACGCACGGAGAGCAAGGAGGGGCAAGCGAGAGAGGGAGCGACGGGAAGGTGCGTGGGAGACCTGTGACTAGTCCCTGACTGAGCATGCCACGAAGGCGAGGGATCGACGGGTGGCCAAGACGGTGGTGCCACAGGACGGTGCGGTGGGCGAGAGAGCGACAGGAGCAAGACGCAGCGACTGGACTGGACACAGCGACCGGACTGGACACGACTACCTGGCTAGACACAGCAACTGGACTGGGGACCTGAGCCGGAGGGGACGCAACAACCTGAGGGGAGGACGCGACCGGGGAGCGCTCGGTGTGGAGAACGTAGAGACCGGAGCGGGGCTCCCTGGTGAACGTGGCCAGAACAGCACCTGTGGTAGCGTCAGTACAGACTGCAGTCCGCCCCCCCCCCACAAAGGTAACGGTGATCCCCCTGTCCTGGAGGTATCCAACACCCACCAAGTTCCGAGTGAACGAGGGGATGTGGAGGCCGCGCAAGACACCAGAGGGGACCACAGGGCACGGGAGGGTGGTGGAGCTGCGCGCAACGGCTGGTCCTGAAGAAGGATCAGCCAAAGCTACCGGAACCGGAGCAAGAAGTGGTGTGAGGGTCGTGTGGTCGCGGAAGAAACACTGCGACGCGCCAGAGTCCAGCGTGAACGACAGAGACGCCTCAGCCGGAGGCGTGTCAGGTCCGGAGGCTACACAAGCACCTAGAGCAGAAACACAAGCACCTAGACTAGAGAGGCACAGGTCTACACTAACAGGAGGCAAGCATCCTAGACTACGAAAACGCGAGCACACAAATCCATCAGCACTATAGTCAACATCAGCATACAAAGCATACTGACGAGCATCGTCCATAGACAGTTCAAATACAGGAATCTTACGGGCTAGCAGGCGAGCCCAGCGCGGGGTGGTCGCCTCAGGACCCCAGCGTGCACGGTAGAGGTCGTCGAGGCGGCGGAAGCACCGCGCTGCAGAGTGGTCGTCGCGGCCGCAGACACAGGGACTGCCAGGTCCGGTGACGCACCAGTGGTCGCAGGGGCCGGTGTCGCGCCGCGGGGGGCGAGGGGCCCAGCTGGTAGTGCTGCTGCTGCGGCCAGTGCTCCCGGGTCCTCCAGGTCCCCACTGTGGCGGAGGGCCCCAGTGCTGCTGCGGACCCCACTGCAGTGGGGGTCCCCACGTCTGAAACTGCTGTGGTGCCTGCCACTGCTGCTGTCCCTGGTGCAGCTGCTGTCTCTGCTGTGGCTGCTGCTGCTGTGGCTGCTGCTGCTGGGGCCCCGCACCACCGCTGGTCGAACCTCCTCCAGCAGGTGGGTCAGCACCTCCTCCAGAGCTCCCTCCGCCTGGGGCAACACCGCCACCACTGCCGCCCCCAGGGCCGCCTCCACCACCGCCACCTCCTCCACCGCCGCCACCCCCCTTCCCCCCTTTCTTGCCCCCCTTGCCCCGTTTCTGCCTGTCAGCGGCAGAAACAGCTGCAGTGTCCTCAGAAACCGACACAGCAGCAGAGGCACGTGTAGCAGTGAAGGTAGGAAGCTGGGGGACAGCACACCCCTCAAACAAACGAGGGGCAACTGCGTCAGTGGCTGAGGCAACAGAGAGGAGGTTACTCTCGATCTTCCCGAGAGTGGTCTCGAGAAGATCAATCGTAAGCTCACTGGGGTGATGCTGGAGAAGTGCGTCACGGGCAGTGGAGAGGCGGTCAGGGAGACGAGTGACTACCCAGTGGACTGTGAGCCAAATAGGAGGAGGAGCAACAAGAAGCTGAGCCTCAGTGCAAGCTGCTCGGTAGCTAGCGACAAGGGAGCGCAAGTGTGTGGCTAGGTCAGAGACAGTCGCAAAAGAGCCGAGGTCGGGAAACACGAACGGCATGAGGATGCGGCTGAGGGAGGCAGAGGAAGGGGTGGAATAGCGTGCAGAAATAGCATCATACACCTCCTTCGCAGTCTCTACCAGGTCGAAGTGAGCGGCCTCAGTCGGTGGAAGGAGCTCGGTCAGCGTGAGTGCAGCCGCAGCGTCACGGGAGTCCCAAACGTCCCGCGCCAAGACGAGACGAGCGTAGTCCGCCTGTGCCTCCGGAGTCGGGGGGGGCACGGCAGGGAGGGGCTCGGGACGCGGTGGTGCCTGGAGGGCGCCGGACGCGTGGGCGTACAGGGTGGCGCCGTCCTGGCGCTGACTGGTGAGATAGCGCTGAGTCTGGCGGAGCCAGGTGCCGAACTCTATCGGGCGCCCCTCTGCATCGAAACGAAGGCGGCGGGAGGAGTCCATATTGGACGCTAGGCTAGGAACAGCTGGAGCACGGAGCAAACGGAGCTAGGAGCGAGGAGCGCCAGGTGGGACTAGGCGAGGTACTGCTGGAGCACGGAGGAAAACTGAGCTAGGAACGCCAGTCTAGTAACGAACGGAGCTGGGAGTTAGCTGACCTAGGAGCACACGGCTGGAGGAGGCAGGGCTGACGAGCCGATCGAGGAGCCAGAGGGTCGTTCGAGGGGCTGGCGGAGCGAGGAGAGACCTAGCTAACAACGAACGCCAGGACTAGCCTAAACAGCTAAGCGGAGCGGCCTCCAGCCGCGACGGTGCGAAACACTGTGAGTATGAGTGACGCGAGTGTCGAACCAACGGAGGTCGGGTGGTCCTGGGTGGTGTGCGCGCGTGATAAGGGGATGTGAGCGTTTGGAAGGGGCTCTGAGCGGTTGGAAGGGGCTGTGAGCGGTTGGAAGGGGCTGTGAGCGGTTGGAACGGGCTGTGAGCGGTTGGAAGGGGCTGTGAGCGGTTGGAAGGGGCTGTGAGCGGTTGAAAGGGGCTGTGGGCGGGTGGGAGGGGCTAGCTGGCGCCAGCTGCTGGCGGCTAGGTTCCGGTGGCTAGCTGCTGCTGGCGGCTAGCTTCTGCCTAGCCGTGCTGCTGCTGCAGGAGCACGCGCTGCTGCCTAGCCGTGCTGCTGCTGCAATGCACACGTTGCTGCCTAGCCGTGCTGCTGCTGCAATGCACGCGCTGCTGCCTAGCCGTGCTGCTGCTGCAATGCACGCGCTGCTGCCTAGCCGTGCTGCTGCAGCAAAGCACGCGCTGCTGCTGCAATGCGCGTGCTGCAGTGGCGTGCGCGGCTGCCGCTGGCTAACGCGCGCGCTGCTGCGGGCTAAGAACGACTACGCGGGCCCGCGGGGGGGGGGGGGGGGGGAGAGTCCCTTCTGGAGCGCGACGAAACGAGGGGCCAGTGGGGCCCTGTAAACGCGACGAAAAACGAGGCCCGCGGGGGCCCTTAAACGCGACGAAAACGAGGCCCGCGGGGGCCCTTAAACGCGACGAAAACGAGGCCCGCGGGGGCCGTCCTACCCGCGACGAAACGGGGCCTAAGGGACGGGCGCCTCGGGACCGGCTAAGGGAGGGAGCGGAAGCGTGGGAGGGAGTAAAAAACCTACTCTAATACCATCTTAAGATAGGCTAGGAGACAAGTGTCGAGAGTAATGTTTGAGTAAGGAGGGACAAGGAGATACAAATGTCGACCTAAAGTGTTGTACCCTTTAGAGGGCAACTCACAGTAGCCTATCTAACAATATATAGAATATATAAACATTTGACACAAGTGTACCCTACCCTACTGGAAACTTCAGGATACAATGGCTACATTCTACCTTCGCTTTAACGAGTGAAAGAAAGTTGGCTGGTTCAAGTTTTTGCGGGTTTGCTGTGACCTTGGATCTGTCATTCAACAGAGACATTCAGAGGATTCTCTTGAAGGCTCCAGGTGTCAATGTGCGCAGGCAATGCTGGCTCACTACCACCACTCTCGCTTCTTTGTCTAACCATCTGGTCATGGTCCAATCTGCCTGGTTCTTTGTTGTCAACAACTGCTGCTGCTTCCAGAGTGAATACCTGATCACTGTCCTCGTATTGTTCTGCAACCGGCTTGCCATGGCCCTGCGTGTCTGCTCTACTCACCCCTCTCTCATCAACACCTCGTGCTGCCAGCGTGGACGCCTGACCACCAGCACCCTGCTGAAATTCATCAAAGTCCTCTCCCTCCCCTCCAGCACCAGCATCACGAGCCGAAACACCAGGCATATTGTGAAAGTTCTCTTCCTGCTCCCCTGTATTGTCATACTGGTATCGGTAACCCTGCAGAGATGCAGCAGCTTCCTCCCTCCAGTCATCTTCCTCGTCCATTGTGCTACCAATGCCACCCAGGCTGACGCCCCTTGTGATTCCCATGCTGATGTCATCCGAGCTTCTGCTGACGTTCCAATCCCCAAGTTCCCCAGCTCTGACACCCATTCTTTCCCCACCACGCATCACGGTTTCGCTATCCTCCTTATAGTCTTGATCTTTATCCGCTTGTGCACCAAATGCTGGCATTGTAAAATTTCCAGCATGCATTCCCAATCCTTTCGTGCTTCTTCGTCTTCCAGTGGGCACTCTCCATTCCACAAGCTCTGACAAATCGGTTTCCTCTTCATCAGCCATTTCATCCGACGTTCCCATTTCATCCGACGTTGCCGTTTCATCTGACCTTTCTCCTGAAACATAGACTGCTTCTCCAATCAATAGTTCACGTGGGTAAAAACGATTCTCCAAATTCTCACCTCCTCCTGATTCAGGATCAAATTCGTCGTCCGAGAATCTGTCCCGGTAATTCGCCAACGCGTTGCTACGACGCCCATTCACGTCATACAGAAAACCATCCTGCCGTTCTCGACTTGCAACGACACTTTCCACCTGACGACGAAGCGGGATAATCGTTTCCCAATCTATTTCCCCAGGCATGTCCGACTCATCCATGTCCTCCGTCTTCGTTAACGTCACGTCGTCATCTATCAGAGTAAGATCAACAAGCTCTAACGGATCCAACGGCTCAGAATCCTTCAAGATTTTCACTTCACCAGTCGTTTTACCAACTAAAGATCTCCTTCCGTGCCTCCAAGCTGTAGTTACGACGCCTAGACTCCCCCACTCTTCTGGTTCATCCGTGAAATACTGAATGTTTGCGGAGCCTTCACGGTGAACGAGGTGGAGATAGCGAGCCGTCGTCGCAGTGGCCAAGAGAGTCGTAATAAGCAGGGCGATACTAAGAGGACTGGCCATTTACAATGATATCAAAACAATAACAGAGCAGCCGATTAAGTACGACCACCCTGGCGCTTCCCCGTCCGCCATGGCTGCCAGCAGGCGGGAAGCAGGAACTGTTTTTCCCCCAGGATTGCCATGGCGGCCCTCAAATGAGGTTTGCGAAAGAGCGCAAATATGCGGATTGATGCTGGCGCTTCGCGATGGTATCACACTGGACAGACAAATCGCAGACGTCGTAGGAGGGGCATGGTTGGGGGCTGAAAACAGTCAGCGAATAGGGACGAGTGTATTTTTGGTCGGCGACCGTAACCCACATGCGCAGAAAGCTGCTGGTGTCGGTTCTGTTGCTAATGAAAGCTTCGTTTGGGGAGAACGGAAATGTCAGTGAGGGCATTCTACAGCAGTTCACATAATATATATCCTTACAGTATGGACTTTAGTAGCATGACTTAGTGGGAATCCTCCTTTGGTGCCACTGCCAAAGGAGCAATTGATGAATGGTCAAACAAATCTCTCAACCTAAATGAGGATGTTTACAACTTGTTAGTTACCCTCACTGATTTCCGTCTCTCTTCCTCACCTCCTCACTATGCATTAACCCAAACAAAATCTCGACCTACGGGACTATTCCCCTCCCCTCCATACCTCTACCAAAAAAAAAAAGCCCAACGCACAACCCACACAACAAAGAACCACGAAGGAACGAGATACATACGGAACAAGGAGAAAGAAAAGATGAACGCAAGGAACAGGGGGGGGGGAGGAAGGGATTTACAAAAGCGGTGAGAGTAAGAAGAAACGTGGAACGGGAGAAACAAGGGGGGCAGAAGAAAGGGTTGTACCCTGTATAATGGAGGGTGAGAGAAGTGACAGCGAGAGAGACAGGGAGAGAGTGAGTGAGAGAGAGAGAGGGGGAGACAGAGCGAGAGAGAGAGAGGGGGAGACAGAGCGAGAGACAGAGAGAGAGAGAGAGAGAGAGAGGGAGAGGGAGAGGGAGAGGGAGAGGGAGAGAGGGAGGGGGGGGGGAGAGAGAGAGTGGAGACGGGAAAGGGGCCATAGTGGGGATGCGTGGCGAGGAGATGAGACGTTGAGGACAAGGTGACACAAAGGTTGGCAACGGAGGGGTTGAGAGGAGGGAAGGAAGAAACAGACGTTCAAAGTAGACCGGAGCACGGTACAGGAAGGGCGGACGAAAGGATAACACAAAGAGAAAACGGCGGCGCACAGGGCTCCCCTATAGCTACCCACATCCACAGTCGATGATCATCACCACTCTCCACATCCACTGCGGATTGTGGAACCCTAGTCAGAATTCCATCCCAAACACCAACCAAAACACCCTCCCACACAACCTTCTAAATACCATCCCGGCCAGTGAAGCCCTCTCTAAACTTCGCGCTCCAACTCATGGCTCGCCATGCACCTCATAAAAGACGAATGCGAAGTAAGAACGAGAATACCTTCCCCGCATATTACTGACTACACCTCAGTACATCTCTGCGAGCCTCTCCGAACCTCGACGCCTACACGCCACCTATTCGTACCCCGGCGAGCACTCGTCCCACTGTCCCCTCTACTTTTCGACCCACCTGCCTCCCCAACCCACTGCGTGCACCTTCCTAGCGACCCCTCGCAGGCCAGCCTCCACCGCAAGACAGTCGGCCACCAACACTAACAACTGCACCTCAGACGCAACCTCTCGACTCTACCCTGTAGCGCTGAATCATGCAAACATCCCCCTTTCTTCATCCCAGCATCCCGCGTCCCTTCTACCCCCCCTGTCCGGTCATCCCTCCGTATCCTACGTGAAAATGTGACAAAGGAACAAAAAAACGGTAACGTGAAATTTAGAAACCTAGTTTGCAGAGAAGAGGGCACACGTGGATGCTTGGATGTTAAATGCTGGGAGTGACAACAGACATCATGGCCGGAGCAGGCTCCGCTGCCAGTGACTCACGTGCCATGGCAAAGGAAATCGGTATCTTGTATCAGGAAATATGTACCCATTATGGAGGAACTCGTAACAAGCAAAGCAACTGACCAGTAAACTACAGGTAACCAGCCGATCGGCAGCCTTGCAAGCCTAGTCCCTACTCCTGGATCCCTGACCGAGCCGAACGAAACCCTAGCCGCTTCCTGCCAATCAACTTTACGCCGTCAATTGGACCGCACCGCCGGCCTCCTTGATCCGCCGCTCCGCCAGCTTGCTGAACAGCTTCGCCTTCACGATCAACGGCTGCGATGGCAGCTCGCCGGCACCGAGCACCTTGAAGAACCCGAACTTGGTCACATCGAGCACGGGAGCGGATCCGGCGCCGCTAGCCTTCTCCTTAACGTCAGCGGGAACCAGCGACCAGAGCTCGTTAAGGTTGATGTGTGGGCAGTGGAACTTGTTCATGGACTTATGGAAGTAACGCATACCGACTTTACCGAAGTAACCCGGATGGTACTTGTCCATCATGATCCTGTGGTGGTGCATGCCTCCCGCGTTACCGCGACCTCCGGGATGCTTTCTGTGCTTGCCGATACGACCATGGCCGGCGCTGACGTGGCCGCGCTTTTTGCGGTTCTTCCTCAGAGAAGTCGTCATGGTAAATCGAGGAAAAGAGTGGAAGAGGAGAGACGGGGGTTGCCCTGAAAACGTAACCACGAGAGGTGGGTGCGGAGGAGGGGAGGAGAGGGAGGAGCAGGAGGAAAAGGAGAGGAAGGGTGGGACGCGAGGAGGGAGGGAGGGACCTGTCGCTCCAATCGAATGGGAGGGGAGGCGTAGGGGAGGAGGCGCAGAGGGGGAGGCGCAACCGGCACAGGGGATGGGGGTGGGGAAGAACGGGTGGGCGCGCATCAGAGTGAGCAGGTTCGGGGTCGAGGTGCGGCGGGAGGCTGGGGCTCCATTTCGGCTGGGAGCAAACGAATCTGCCAGAGGTGGTGCAAGGCGCCGTGGGTTTTGGTATGGTTGAGGCCATGGAGCTCGGTGGTAAGCCACATGTAGTCGAGTAGCGAATTCCTGGAGTGTATTTACGAGTTTATATCAAGATGTAAGCTCAAGTATTTTGAATCACTATTTCCTCTTTCTGACTAACCATTGACAGTAGGTCTATCTAATGCATTTCCTCACAATCCACGGACAACTATCTATGATAAAAGTGATCCCAGCCTTCTCAATTGGCAATCACCTATTTATTTCAAGAATTTAGAAAGCGTTCAAATCAGAGTGCAGTGCATCCAGGAGGTGCACACGATTCTGCTTTCATAGGATGCCATTCCATGCCACCATCATATAGAACGTTGGGTTGGGATTGCTTTAATGTGACCAGAACATGAAAATGATATGTTTTCTTCCTATATCTACTCAGAGGCAGCCTCATCAGTGCCCTCCTCAGCAGCATTCTTCTTCTCGTTTTGCACATAGATGAAGCTCTTAGAGCGGCCTGTAAGCACTGACTTGGCAAGGGACAGAGCCTTGAGAGCCTCGTCCCGAGCCTGAGCCTTCCACACAGCCCGGCGGACCTTGGTCTTTGTCCGAGAGGTCCTCTTCTTCGGCACTGCATGGGGAGGTGGGGGAAGCAACGGTGTTGAGAACATGACTTTTATGACAGCCAAGAACGAACACAGTTTGGACTCTAAACATCGCCTACATTCAAGAGGTCATCTCTGGCACTACCCAGCAAGGATGGGAGCAGCAAGGTGCTGAGAAGATAGAGCTCCACGAAAGTGAAGGACAGAAACATGGATTCTATTCTTGCTGACTGGTCTTCTCAAGAATTGTCCAGGAACGAGGGGAGAATCAAGGGCATTGAGGACATGAAGTCCAAGAGAGCGAATGATAGACACACTCGCTGGTGAGGAGAAATGCTGGGAACCTAGTGCTTATGGATCGGGTTAACGAACGCATCATCAAATTCCAACACAATAAAGTGGCTTCGGAAGGCACGTAAAGGGCTCAGGATTCACCAGTCTTTCTCTATGAAGAAAGTACACGGCTTCAACTGCATCCACCAGACGTCATATCAGCAAATAAGAGGGTCCGGCATAGCACGTGATGACTGCCCGTTCAGATAGCCCCTAGGAATTAAAGGAGGGCAGTTTGAGCAGGACAACGGCCAGCACATTAACCTTCGTGCAGTAAAGAACTTTAAGGATAGGGGGCTTCTCGACGAGGACGTGAAGGCGACTCGGGGGTTAGGAGTTTTTGTTTTGATCGTCAAATGTCAAATGTGGCATGTGCATTTGGTATCAGACTCACGAAAGTCTTATCCTTTTGTTCAAAAGGCGGCACGAAAGCAAACTACGGGGGCGACTAGCTGTCAGCATTAGGGTAATCGCGACTCTACCCACTTGCTATGACTACAACGCTGCAAATTTGCTCGATCTCCTGCGCGCAGCCGCCCTACAGCGCACCACCACGCGCAAACTAGAAAAAAACTACGAAGGTGACTGGAAGTCAGCATTAGCGTGCATATGACTCTACCCACCTGCCATGACTACAAGGCTGCTGTTTTGCTCGATTTCCTGTGCGCAGCCGCCGAACAGCGCATCGCCACGCGCAAACTCAGAGCCGCAAGCGGACACGTGGACACTCTCGCATCCGAACCCCCGCGCGCACGTCAGCTCAGTCGCAATGCCCCTGGAAGCAACGCTAGCCCTAACGGTCGCCTTGCTGGGGATTTGCACTGACGACAGAGACGCAGAGACAGCAGCAATGGAGGCCATGGCTGACCACACTAACCCTGTAAAATTAACGAGGGTGAGCTAAGAAAATATTAGGTCACAGCCTCAGGGCTCACAGCAGCACAGGAGGGAGAAGAAAAGCTCCCCTGAAGTTGGTCGATCTAAAAAGCTGGGTTGAGACCCACCAAGCAGCCCCAGCACGAAAACATTTAGGTAAGGGGAATATTGCGGATTTCAGGGGATTAAAGATGAGTACTAGTACGATTCTATGCGGTGCAGCTGGGAGTAGAGGGAGAAACATAAAGATGGGCAGGACGGAGTGATGCTGGCGTGGCGAACGGAAACGGATGTGGGGTTGGACAGGCGCAGCATTGAGCTGACACGTAAGATAATTTCGCGAAGTATCCTGAAAAGGTAACCAGCGCATATTCGCTACATTACAAGTAGGAGTTTTCTTGTTATGAGTTGTGAAAGGAAAGAGTGCGCAGAATTCAATAACGCGGAAGTGATTACGTCTGATAGAAAATTCGAGGCCTAGGACTAATATAGCAATGCTAGCTAGGCCGAGGTCGCGGGGTCGCGAGATGGTTGGGTGCAGGTTCGGGGTTGGAAAACCCGAAGGCGACGCGGTGGTGGCTTGGAAGGCGAGGTCGGCGGGCCGAGCCTGGGTTTCCGAAAACCGGGGTTGTACGCGTACAGTGTGACCCAGTAAGGAATCGGAAAAAATCCTTACATTTCTCATGTGTGCTAGATTTCATGCCATGGACAAGTCCTAACCTAGAACATTCAATGGTTTAGATAGATGAGAACTTAAAAAGGGCCAATGGCTTTGTAATATGAGATATTTATACAAATGGTAGTTCGGAATCCTAGCGCATTGCCTCCTCGAAGTATCGCTGGAATAATTTGACAAACCCAGCAATGAACTCTTGTGAAAACAAAGGAGACACAAAGTTAATGTAGATATGGAGCTCGCCATCCTGAAACAAGCACAAGCGACACATCAAATTAGGAACAGCAAGAAAATCCACATGAGTTAAGTGTATGCAAGTTCATCATACATGGTACTTACACAAAGAGCATCCCCAACGGATATGCTTGGGCCGACACCATGAGTTGCAAAGATCGGCCCCACAAACCCCTCCAGCTGAGGCGCCAAACCCTCGTTTCCTCCTCCAACAACCCCATCCACATGTCCTTGCCCCTCATTGGCCGGCCAGTCCATGGGGAAGGGTGACTCGGTGATGGCAGACATGAAGGAGGTGCGCAGGGAGCACTCGGGGGAAAGCGTTGGCGTTTTCATGGCCTGGGAATCAGACAAAAGAGAGAGTGGGGGTGGGTGCGGAGGGAGAAGGAAGGGCAAGGGCGACTCAGTGATGGCAATCATGAAGGAGGTGCGCAGGGAGCACTCGGGGGAAAGCGTTGGCGTTTTCATGGCCTGGGAATCAGACAAAAGAGAGAGTGGGGGTGGGTGCGGAGGGAGAAGGAAGGGCAAGGGCGACTCAGTGATGGCAATCATGAAGGAGGTGCGCAGGGAGCACTCGGGGGAAAGCGTTGGCGTTTTCATGGCCTGGGACTCAGACAAAAGAGAGAGTGGGGGTGGGTGCGGAGGGAGAAGGAAGGGCAAGGGCGACTCAGTGATGGCAATCATGAAGGAGGTGCGCAGGGAGCACTCGGGGGAAAGCGTTGGCGTTTTCATGGCCTGGGAATCAGACAAAAGAGAGAGTGGAGGTGGGTGCGGAGGGAGAAGGAAGGGCAAGGGCGACTCAGTGATGGCAATCATGAAGGAGGTGCGCAGGGAGCACTCGGGGGAAAACGTTGGGGTTTTCATGGCCAGCAGATGAGACAACAAGTCCAGGGGGGAGAGAGGGGGGGTGAAGGGGGTGTGGGGGGAACGGGATGAGAAGGAGAATGTGGAAGGGCAAATCCGTGATAGCCGAACCTCAGTGGTGCAAAGGGGGCATTCAGGTAAAAATACAAGTTGACTTTTGAGTCGACTCAAAAGTCAACTCGCTACAATGTCACACGGTGTGTTTTCTACACGGAGAGCTATCATCGCTTGGAAGTTACCTAAAAGAGTTGGAAATTATTGAGAAGGAGAATGTGGAAGGGCAAATCCGTGATAGCCGAACCTCAGTGGTGCAAAGGGGGCATTCGGGTAAAAATGCAGGTGCCGAGGGTTACCTTCGCATGAGGTGTAGGCTGTGCGAGTGAGGACACACGTGTGTTACTCTCGAGCATTTTTCAAAGTAGTACACGCATTGAACAGTGTCAAAATATGAAGTATGGACGTTTTGCCGATTAGGTGCTACAAGTGGAACCCAGTCTAGGTACCACATTGAAAAAGGAATTTAATCTTATTCTTACCGTAGAAAAGAGCAGTTCCAGCACGGGCATGTCAATAAATTGTTTCTTCTGCCCGACGGCAGTTGCCAGGTCAGCATCTACAGTGCGAGCCACGTCCCAGAGCTCCAGGTCCTGATTGGCTGGCTGTTTCAGCGGCAATCCCGAGGTGAACACCCCCATGGCGTCGGGTGGCAGGGGTGGGTCCAGTAGCGGCCTGCAGTTCATGATGCTGGGAGGGGAAAGAAGAATGAGGGGACAGGAACGACGAGGTTGAGGGAGCTTAAAAACTGACCTCCAGGGGACTTCGGAATCAAGACCACACTAAGAGGTGGTGGAGGCAGGTAGTAAGTCGATTTTTGAGTCGATTTTTTATGGGGATGTTCACTAAAAAATCGACTTACTACACGCGGACTTCAGGATAAAGACCATCCTAAGAGGTGGTGGCCGCAGGTTATGAAGCTGGAGGAGGGGGGGGGGGAGGGAGAAAGTGGAAGAGGAGGGGGGGGAGTGCTCAGATCGAAAACAACCCCGCGTTGAACATCCCCATGCCCCCCAACGCACCTGGTCAAAATCCCCCCTCCCACACCTGGTCAAATCCCCCCCCACAGACATGGTCAAATGCCCCCCCACACACCTGGTCAAATGCCCCCCCACACAGCTGGTCAAATGCCCCCCCACACAGCTGGTCAAATCCCCCCACCCCCACACACCCGGTCAAATGCCCCCCCACACAGCTGGTCAAATGCCCCCCCCCCCCACACACCCGGTCAAATTCCACCTTCACACCTGGTGACGTTGAACGTTTCTGTGCGGCTGCCCAGCTGCTTGGCGTCCGCCACGGCTTTGAGTGCTGCAGCACACTCAAGGCTGAAGAGGGAGCAGGAGCGCGAGGCGAGGGCAGCAAGGAGGCTTTCAGTCTCTGATGGATGGATGGGAGGCAGAGGAGAGGGAGGAAAACGTAAGGTGGAGAAGGGGTGACTTTTGAGTCGACTCAAAAGTCACCTCAGAAGGGGGGACAAAAGAACCTGCCACAGCTTTGAGTGCCGCCGCACACTCAAGGCTGAAGAGGGAGCAGGAGCGAGAGGCCAGGGCAGAGAGGAGGCTTTCAGTCTCTGTAGGGTTGGGTGCATGGGCGGCAGCAGAAAGGAGGGGAAAATGGGATTGGAAATTCTTGAGTGCCACTGCACACTTGAGAGGTGATTTTTGAGTCGAATATTGAATCGAATACAAAATGAGGCTGAAGAGAGAGCAGGTGCGAGAGGCAAGGGGGATGAGCACTGACCTTGCTTGTCCAAGTGCAAGCAGGAAAAGGAGGAGCGGAATTCGTTCTTCCTGCTGTCTGCCCGGCCAGGCTGGAAGGGCGCGTGGGAGGAGGCCATGGAGTTGCGCACATAGGCCAGAGCGTCGTAGGCCTGAGAGAGGCCCTTAGAGAGATAGGAGCGGGTTTCAGTGGGCTTGGGGATAAGCGAGGAGAGGGGCGGCTGGAGGGGAACGACTTCTGAATCCCTGCAAGGGAACAAGAAGACAGAGGGGGTGGGCGGGAAGGTAGTGGGGTGACACGGGAGTTCATTGAGAGAGGTGTTCGGAAGCAATTGCACACGTAGGCAGCTGCACACATAGGCCAGAGCGTCGTAGGCTTGAAAGAGGCCCTTGGAGAGGTAGGGTTCCAGCGGGCTTGGGGATGAGCGAGGAGAGGGGAGGTGGGAGAGAGACGGCTTCTGAATCCCTGCAAGGGGACGGAATGTCAGAGGGGGAGGGAGGGCAAGTGGGGGAAAAGAGAGATTTATGGGGAAAGGCTAGCATAATCAAATTGTAGTAAATGCGGTTGCGGGGGCCATTGTCCATGAAAGGCTGGAGAGTGGCAAGAGAGATTTTTACTCAACTGAAAGTCGGGTTGAGGTGCTTCCAAAAGTCATGGAATGGCGGGAGCGTGGTGGGCGTGAAATTGTGAAAGCTGGAGATGTAGCTTGATGACTCGGCAACGGCTGGGACGGCTGAGTCTGGCCCATAAGTTGGCAGGTAGCGAGTGGTGCAGGGCGGGGACGAACGCCATTGCCAGCTGGCGAACAGCTGGGCGGTCCAGCAGGGAGTGAAGTGAGTGCGACGTACCTTGCGGGATTAGCGGTGACTGAAGGTTGAGAGTGGTGCAGGGCGGAAACGAGAGCTGTTGCCAGCTGGCGAACAGCTGGGCGGTCCAGCACGGCGCGATGGCAGCGCAGAGCGATACAGGTGGCGCGTGGGAGATGGTACATGTGGATCTGTGGGATTGGGGAAGATGGTACACGTGTATCCAAATATTGAGTCTTGTGGACGAGACGGATAAGGAGACAGAAGGGAAGAGAAGGATAACGCACAGAGGAGGGAAGCCTGGGACCGGAGGAAATTAGAAATGGGGAGAGAACATGATAATTGGCTTGCTCATGAACATGGTGCTTGGCTTGCTGTGGTGGATAGGCTCAACGGTTCAACAATTCAGGCTCAGGGCAGGACAGGAGGGAGCCGAATTCAGAAACGGACTGTAGGGAGCAGGATAATAGGCAGGCGAAACATTCACTGGAAAGCCACAACAAGAAGAAAGAAAACAACATCCAGACAAGCTTTTCCATGCAACTAAGTGTTACCCAGTGCGACTCAGTGCGACCAGTGCGACCCAGTGCGACCCAGTGCGACCCAGTGCGACCCAGTGCGACCCAGTGCGATCCAGTGCGACCCAGTGCCACCCAGTGCCACTCAGAAGGCCCTTGCTAGCTACCTGCAAGGCGTCAGCGGGTGCTTCCCCATGCGCTCCTGTGATTGGCTGATTCAACTCCATCCCCATCCCCATCCTCTGCATCCTCAAACTCATCCTCCTCTTCCTCCTCCTCCACTCCCCTCTCGACCGCAACGTCTGCTGCAGATAACTTCTTGAATTCTGCTTCCATTGCTGACGTGGACTTCTCACCCTCACCACAAGCATCACCATACGCGTCACTCTCTTGGTCTTTCTTCGGCACGTCAGACTCTTCCCCGTTCTCGAGGCTGCTGGGGTCGTTGTCCAATGGCGCAGCAGCCTCCCACGCTGCCACGTCATCAATGCTCCGGGACACTACAGTGATTGGTTTCGCGTCACGGCACAAGTGGAGTTCAAGCGGACCGCCAGTTTTACCCTGCCCGACAACTCGGGCAAGCAGGAGCGGAAATCTCGACCCAAGCTCCTTCGCTGCTTGCTGGACTTTTTCAAGCGAAAGCTGCCCGGAAAACTGTAGACCGACGACGCCAAGCCCGGTTCCCATCTCCATCGCACGACACCAAAGTTCTTCGTCAGTGGAAAGCGGGCGACATGCGACGGGTCCCTGCGACTCGCATGTCGCAGAGCCGCAGGCCGCGACCTTCGTCACGCTGCTGGTCCAGAACATTATCAGAGATTACTCGACCAAATATACAGATTGCAGCCACGTAATACAATCAGACCGTCTAACAGTGAAATTCCTACATCTACCGATGGTGTGAATTTTTTTCAAGTTACTAGAATTGAGCTGGAAGTATGTGCCTGACTGGCCTGGTGATTCATGTCATGATGCGCTAGAGGGTACCGCATCGGCTCCGTTCAGTTGCGTACAGCTCTGTACAGTGGTAAAGTCTACATACATACAGAAGATAACGCCTCAACTGAATTCATATGATGGCTTTTTGCTGTTCCGTTCCGACCCCCGAGCATCCCGAGGTTTTTCACATCATGATGAGCAAATCGCCTTTTCAATAAGATACAGTAGGGTAATGAAAGCTGAACTTCGGTTGTGTGACATAACAATGAGTGACCGGGTCACACAACGATGACAACCTTCAACCCCGCACTCGAAATTCTGGTCAGCTCGGTTATCTGAAATCTTCTTTTTCCTAGCCAGTACTTTCTAGGGAGCTATCAGGCCTCTGGCTCTTTGATTGGTTCATTCTTACCCCAACCGACGTATTCCATAGCTTTCGCATTGTCCCTCCCTTATGATCAGCGATCGTATCCTGGTCACGACCTGAACGCCAGACATACTCGCAAAACATAACCGACTTTTGACTCTGGGTTCATTACGCCTCAAGAAATCTCAGGATCCAGATTTTGGAACCCCCTTTCTTCGTCTGATGAATTGAAGCCTTGTCGTGATACTTGGCAGCATTTCGCATAGGAAAAGCTTCTTTCTTGAATCGTACGGCGGGGAATAAACCGGCTGCGTCTGATCAGACGGTCGAGATGTCGTTTTGGGGTGCGTCACTAAAATGAGATTGTATTGAGAGTGTGAGGACTGTTCTCTAGAGTTTGCGCGTACGATTTTTTTTTAATATTGTGTTTTTCGTCTTGAGCCCTCTTCGCCTTCTTCTTCTGCAGTTTCTGGTTCCTCTACCAATCGTTTCTTACTACCATCCCATTTTCTGGTTCTTATCTGATCAATCGACAGGTGTGGAGGTGAAGGCGGGTGAGACGGTGGTGGTGGATCCCACAGAGCATGACTTCGACTACATACACCTGTCCCAGGTACCACTTGCACTGCTCGCTCCTGTCCCAGGTACCACCTGCACTGCACGCTCCTGTCCCAGGTACCACCTGCACTGCACGCTCCTGTCCCAGGTACTGTTCTCAATTCTTGATTCGCAGTGGTGGTGGACCCCACAGAGCTTGACTTCGACCACATACCCCTCTCCCAGGTACATCTGTCGTAGCTACATCTGTCCCAGGTACATCTATCCCAGGTACATCTATCCCAGGTACATCTGTCCCAGGTACATCTGTCCCAGGTACATCTATCCCAGGTACATCTGTCCCAGGTACATCTATCCCAGGTACATCTGTCCCAGGTACATCTGTTCCAGGTACCACCTGCACTGCACGCTCCTGTCCCAGGTACTGTTCTCAATTCTTGATTCGCAGTGGTGGTGGACCCCACAGAGCTTGACTTCGACTACATACCCCTCTCCCCAGTACATCTGTCCCAGGTACATCTGTTCCAGGTGCATCTGTTCCAAGTACGCCTGTCCCAGGTACCACCTGCACACCACCTGTCCTAGAGAAACACGTCGGCTTCTCAAAAGCAACTCGGATTTAGCAGGTAAGCCTGCACATATTTGTTGCATGTCAGTGTTTCATGCGAAAGTGCTGCACACATTTTCCTTTGGTGCAAAGCTTGTCAGGCAATTTCACAAGCGAGCCGAATGTCACCCATGAAGTGTAACACAACGAACGGCTTTCAACCCATGTCACAACGGAGTCGCATTTTCTCACTCACCCCCTGCCCACGTGCAGTGCAACCCACGTGACCGTTGATTCGACTCACAAGTGTCTTTGCAGGCCACTACAAGCGAGTCGAAATTCCACTCTTGTGCAGGCTAATAGAATGGAGAACGGCGTCCATCCAGTGCTTGTGCAGCCTCATTCTCCCACCCGCTGCTCACATGCAATCCACGTCCCATCCCACTCGCCTCGTGCCAGGCGAGTCTGGGCGAGGTGGCCGAGGACCACGTGCAGGTGGTGCTAAAGGTCTGACAGGTCTTATGGCTCCGATGGTGATGGCAGGGATGGCAGTGATGATATAGCGATGATAGCGATAACAATGACAATGGTTTTTCATCCTCACTCCACCGTGCCAGGCGAGTCTGGGCGATGCAGCCAAGGACCACGAGCGGGTGGTGCTCAAGGTGCGACAGGTGGAGTTCCACAAAGCCTCTGATGACCCTCACAACTCTAATAACGCTGATATTATTAAACCCATGTGGAAATTCTTCCCCTGCTCGCATGCCATGCAACCCACGTCTCACCCACTTGACCCCAGGCGAGTCTGGGTGAGGCAGCCAAGGACCACGGGAGAGTGGTGCTCGAGGTTCGACAGGTGGAGTGGAGTTCCCTAAAGACTCTGATGACTCTTAATGATGACGCCGGCAAATGATGATATCGTTGGCCTATGTCTTCCTCCTTCCCCTGCTCGCGTTCGATCCATGGCTAACCCTCTTCACCCCAGGCGAGTCTAGGCGAGGCGGCCAAGGACCACGAGCGGGTGGTGCTCAAGGTCAGGCAGGTGGAATTTCCCGAAGACTCTGATGACTCTGATGATGACGACAACAGCGATGACAGCAATGATAGCGATGAGAATGATGATGACGGCAAGGGCAAGGCGGGGAAGGGGGCGTTGAAGTCCAAGTCGTTTGCAGTGGGGCCTGAGGTGGTGCTGGGTGTGCTGATGAAGGGGCGGGTGGATTTCGCAGCCATGGACCACATATTCGACCGGCAGTTCAGCCTGGCCCACACGGGCAGCCACAGCGTGTTCTTCTCGGGGTACAAGACCTCTGACTCTTCTGCTGCTGAGTCCCTGTATGGTGAGTGCTTGCACGGGGAGACCCCGCCCCCCATTGCCATGTGGCCATGGACCACAAATTTGACCGGCTGTTCAGCCTGGCCCACACGGGCAGCCACAGCGTGTTCTTCTCGGGGTACAAGACCTCTGATTCTGTTGCTGCTGATTCCCTGTATGGTGAGTCCCGTTTTGAGGCGCCTCAAAACTGTTCTTCTCGGGGTACAAGACCTCTGATTCTGTTGCTGCTGATTCCCTGTATGGTGAGTCCCGTTTTGAGGCGCCTCAAAACTGTTCTTCTCAGGGTACAAGACCTCTGATTCTGTTGCTGCTGATTCCCTGTATGGTGAGTCCCGTTTTGAGGCGCCTCAAAACTGTTCTTCTCGGGGTACAAGACCTCTGATTCTGTTGCTGCTGATTCCCTGTATGGTGAGTCCCGTTTTGAGGCGCCTCAAAACTGTTCTTCTCGGGGTACAAGACCTCTGATTCTGT